CTCCCCCGGAGTACTTCTTTGTTTGGTGGGGAGAAAAGTATATAAACTAAACCAAATCAGCTGAAACTTCGCCAGGGGATTGATACATACATCAATAACAGGATGTGTTGTGAGATTTCGTTGCAATCTTCAAAAATATAGAGGGGTGGTTGTAGAAGAGCCTGAGGTCCCTGTTCCCAACACACCATAGGGACCCCAACTAGTAGCACACCTCAACTTGGAACATAAAAAAACTAGAGCTCAAAACATATCATAAATGAATAAGGTTTCAAATTTGCTTCAGTGCTAGCAATTTCTTCATCGTATTCTTGTACTTTTTGTTCTTGAGTTATTTTTAGAATGTAATGTTTGGTTGCTGAGGAGGGGTTTAAAAAGTCAACCAATCACAGCCGCGAGGGAAATTCGAAATTTGAAAACGGTTGCCAAACTCGATCAGTCATACAGAAAGTCCTCACGAAGACTACTGAAGTTTTGTCGACTTTTGAGCATAGCTATGTTTAAAAGATCCAAGAATAAGAAAAATAAGGAGAATGTGCCCGTAGACACCCAAACAGCCATTTTTAAGTTGAGGGAGACAGAACGAATGCTCGAAAAGAAGCAAGAATATCTCGAAATGAAGATAGATCGAGAGACGGCCATTGCCAAAAAGAATGTCAAAATAAACAAAAGGATCGCTCTGCAGGCTCTCAAACGAAAGAAAAGGCTAGAGAAGCAGCTTTCTCAAATAGATGGAACACTTTCGACGATCGAATTCCAACGAGACGCGCTCGAAAGCTCGAACACCAACAACGAAGTCATAAAAAACATGGCGTTCGCGGCGAAGGCCTTGAAGCAAGTTCATCAAGTTCTTGATGTCGACGATGTTCATGATACAATGGATGAAATTCATGAACAGTCACAGATATCTGAAGAAATAAGCCAAGCTATTTGCTCTGTTGGAACTACCAGTTTCGACGACTCGGAGCTAGAGAAGGAGCTCGAAGATCTCGCACAAGAAGAGCTTGAAAAGTCTTTATTGAAAGCTCAAAGGCCTGATGCTAGGAGATTGCCAAACGTTCCTACGTCTAAGCTAAATGTGAAACACAGAAGTAGAAATGAAGATGATGAATTTGCTGAATTAAAGGAGCTAGAAGCTTGGGCCTGTTGAGCTGTACAACATGTACATCGATCAAAAGACCAAACAATCTCGCTGCTTACTTCGCCAAAGTGAATTTTTGTAATTCTACGATAACTAAAGACACATGGAAACACAACTACAGAGTCAAAATGGAGATAAATAACGAATAGAGTCCATCTAAGTAAGCTTATAAATATTAAAAAAAACAATGTTAGTTTTGGATTGGCTGACTCCACAAAATATGCTAGATCCCTGCGAATTTTGCTTTATGGTAGTTCTTGAGTTCATACACAGCTTCTATTATACCATGTTTGACAATATTAGATTTACTCAATATTATTATAACGTTTTCACAAGTGAAAAGAGAAACTCTTCGGATCAAGCTCTGAACTTTTTCACTTGAGTGATGTTGTTACAGGTTTTAAGACCAACATTTTGATGTCAAAACTGTGGTGTTGCCATGGAAAACTGCACAATTTCGTGATAATGGTTTGTCTTTGGTCTCATAAGGTGTTCCAGCTACATGATTGACTTCACAAACCAGTACAGCTGCAATTAATAATATTAGGGTTTCATTGCCAAAATATTGGTCTCAAAATGCTGTTTGTTGCCATTCTTGTGGGGTGCAGTATTTATTTTTCATAATCTTGATGCAGCAATGTATTATGTTGTACTCTTCCTTATTTGGTAATTTTCACAATTTTAAGTTGCCCTTCACCCCACCCACTTGAAGATCCTGATTCTTTTCTCTTGTTGAATCATTTTTTTGAAAGTTATATTGATTTAATATACAATTATAGTAATCAACATAAAGTTTATTATATAACTGGTACAAAAAGGTTACATAATCAATGGAGAGTTAGAGAGTTAATATTTTAAACTGTTTGAGCTGAACACTTCAAATTCTTGATTACAATGTTTTTTTGCGATTTTATTTGTGAAATAAAGATTTTATTATACTATTGACATTTTTTTGGATTTAATTTTGAATCATCAAGTGCAGTACTCTCCTTTACAGTTCTCTGCGCTATCTTGAAAGGAACTGTGCCTTTGCATCGGAGTGAGATGATCATTGGACATGCAATGATATAGAAAACTTCTTTCATTGCACGTTCAATGGTCATCTCACTTCAGACACTTCAATGCAAAGGTATGGTCTCCTTTCAATTCAATTCAATTCTTTATTTAGCACTATTGGTAATTACAATGATGATAATGATATATAGTGGTAATTATGGAAATAATAATATTGGTATAGTATGATGTTAGGCATAATAATGTGCGTAGTGGCCAAAGTAGCAGGGGCTTTCGGGTTGGTCACTACCACAGTTGATAAGCCGTGAGTCAACAGTTGATACTTCTTCATTTTTGTTTCTATTGTCATAATATACTATGCTTTTGAATAAGTGTTACTATATTTACAAATAATTACATTATATTTACAAGTATTTGAAGGGCAAAATATGTTTGATAAATAACTTTTAATAATTGATGGGTTAATAATCAATTAGAATGTGATTGTTGGCTAGCTGTTGAGATGAAACCTCTTAATTTGTTTTAAAAAATATTGAAAAGGGAGCTTTTTTATAGGAAAGGGAATCTTTTCCAAGGGCGGATCCAGGGAGGGGCAAATGGGGGCTGTAGCCCTCCTCTGAGCAGAAAAAGTAAATTGATTTTTATTATTTTCGATGTTGTTTATAACAAATAAAGCCCATTTAAACCCCTACTAAAACCATTTAGCCCCCCCTTAAAATTTCAGCTGGATCCGCCCTTGTTTTCCCATATTTTTGATGCAATTGCGGCAAATCTAGAAAGGCCATAGTTCTGGAAACTGGTCTGTGGAGATTATCTTTGGCTGCAAATCTAGTATTATGTTTATGAATTATCAATTTTTTCAGGGAACCTTGAAAAGGACTATTCACTTTATCCTTTTTTCTTTGTATTACAAGCAGACCAGTCCTTTTATTCTATTCTGACCGCTCCATGAAAACTCCGCCCTACCCCAGTCAATGAGACTATAAAATTTTTCAAAATATTTTCTCCTCTTGAATSCAGGTTTTTAAGTTAGTGCGATGGTTCAGTTGTTTTCGGCAAATCTCGATTCAATCCACAGCATATAACACAGGAAACCCATCATGGTGAAACTGATTTATTTACCGATCGCAAAAATCAAAAGAATTTCTTAAAAACAAAACTTTATGCAGAAACAGTTTGTTATTATTAGAAAAAGGAGAAAAGAAAAGAATCTCCAAAACATAAAAAAAAGTTCTCTCGCCAACTGGACTTGAACAGCGGTGCTCCCTATAAAACTACTAAAACACGCCGATTTTCATCAAAGTCAATCTCGTACCCCACGCCACTGTCCCTCTTACTGCGCAACCTCGACGAAAAAAAGACCAAAGTAACGCGGGCTCTGGGTATGAGATTGCATTAAAGTGGCACCGTGTCACATAAGTCAATGTATGGGGAAATCGATTCAGCGGGACTTCAGGAATATGAATTGAATTTGCATAAGTAATTACAGAAAAAATGCATAGGAACACCGTGATAACGAAGATAAATATAACCTCATAGTTACCATAGCAACAATAGCACTTTACAGGAAAGTGACTGAGTGACTTAGTGAGTGACAGATCGCTCACCTACAATAACTCTTCGATTGCTAACGCAATCTCCGAGTTAAAAACCTGTTGCTATTTGTTATAAGGACATTTTTCAACTATTCACAACCACGCGTACAAAGCATTGAGGGTCCAGTACCCCCAGCATCCCCTCCCTCCCTGGTTCCGCCGTCCATGTAATGGCATAATGGCAGACAGCGTAGTTACAGTACGAGTAGCTACACATCATGATGTGGATAAAATACTCCAAGTATCAGAGGGAATCTACGACGGGAGGGACTACCTTCCTGTTGTCCTTGAACAATGGCTAAATTATGAGAGAAAGCTAATATATCTTGCAGAGTACGAGGGTGAAGTCATTGGATTACAAGTTGCCGACATCGCAGAAGACCAACAGTCATTTGTCACTCAAGCACTGAGAATTCATCCAAAATATCGTGGCAGAAGATTAAGTTATCAAGTACACGATGCAGTTATGGCAAGTATTCTTGTCAAATTTCCTGAAATGAAAAGGAACAGGGTTGTATGCTTTAAAGATTCGGCTGCTTATGTGATGTATAGAAACAAAGGTTTTATAACCGTCTGGGAAGAAAAAGTGCAGTTCATTAAAAAGATACCATCCGATCAACTTAGGCAAAGTTTAAGCGCAGAATTTAGCGATTCTAGTGAGTTGACTCTTTTGGGCATCAAAGATGCACTGG